AAGAAATAATTGGTCATTTTTTTTCAATTCTGCCTTTAACAATTACTCCATTTTGTTCGATTGGAAAGTTATGTAGAATTTTGATATTTTTGATATAGTAGATTTATATTAGTCAAATTACACCTTATATTAAATTTTTCTTGAAGGGAGCATATGACCTTACCCCGACAAACAAATATGGACGGAGGGAGTAAAAGAGAATTTTGATTTGTGGTGAAACCACGTAGACGGGCATATGATTCTCTTTTATATGATATCAAAAAATGTATTTGGCATGAAAGTTTTGTTTCTTTCTCCTTTTCCTTATTTCGTATCTTCTTCTACTCCCTTTTCTTTTCTTTACGTTTCTTCATAACTTTTTTAGTATTCTTATTAAATATATTTATTTATCAGAATTGAAAACTTCATATTTTTAGTTTTATTGTTTTGCTCGTGATTTACTGTGGATCATTTTAAATTAAACGAAAAATAAATTAATTAATATGATTTTTCAAATGTTAAAATCAAGTCAAATTAATTAAGTTGATTTTTCATCATTTCGACTTTTTTTTATTTTTCTTGCTATTTGATTTTTGTGGACTTCTCAAAAGTATACGATACTATAAAATTTTGATAAGATACATATATATAAGATCCTTCAAAAAGCAAATTACGCTTTATCTAAGAATTTAATCATTTTAAAGAAATATAAATAATTTTTTCCAATGATTTTACTATTTTCTTACACTATTAAAGATGACGATATATTAAGATATCATGTCAATATTAAATTTAAATAACATAATAATTAAATTATGAATCATTTTCAACAAGAAAAAGTACTATCAACATTATCAAAATAAAAATAAAAATTAAACAACAAAGTAAATGCACTAAATTTTATTACCATGATAAAAACACATGAATACTAACAAAGAAATCAAAAAAAAATATTTAAAATATTCTTCTTAAATTTTGTAGAAGGTTATATACAAAATTATTACGGATCATTTATTAATAAAATGAAAAAATTTATCCAAAAAGTTCAATGCCTAATCTTTTATCAACGAACACATAAATTAATTTATTATTCTAAAATTAAAATTTTATGATTTTTTATTTTTAATTTCACTTTGTTCAATTTCTCTATCTTATTGAAAATTTATTTTTTCTCAAAACATTATTATTAAATATTATTGTAGCGTGAATGTTAAAGTTTAAACGAATAATTTATAGATAATGAGTTCGAGTCCATATTAGTTCTCAATTTTAAGTATATTTTTGAAAAAATAGACTCTTTGAAGCTTTTAGAATTTAAATAATTTTTAACTTCTTATTCTTTTTGGTAAAAGATTGTAAAAGTGTATATTGGATCATTTTCACAAAAATTAAAGATAATTCATTAATATAAGTCGAATCATTATGATAAAAATAAATGTAAAAGATATATACGAGTTATGCTCCCTCACAAATACAAGTCAATTGAATGTGATAATATATGCATGATCAAGTTATAATTGTATAATAAATTAGTTAAATACATGTCAACCTGATCAATTTATCTTCACATTTTAGGGGTTATTAAACTACATTTATTGATAATATCTCATTGTAAAATCTCTTGTGATATTCATTAAACAACTAACATAAAAGACTAAATAAATTTTCTTTGTCAATTATGAGCGAATGTTATTTCTTAATATTCACTTAAACAACAAAGGCTGATATCTATTTTCACGAAATAGTTCCCACATAATCATAGACCTTAAGCACTATTTTCTCTCTTCTTTATTCGTTATATTAAAATTTTTTCATTTACACATTTATTCCATTTTCATTCTTAATAATATTCATAATTAGGGCTGGACATAATATGATTTAAATAAAAAAATCGAACGAACTAATTTTTTTAAAAATTTATGGATCAATTTTGATTTCAAAATTTAAATTTTCAATTCGATTTTCAGTTTTTAACTAAAAAAATAAAATTTTCTCTCTATATAATCTTCACGCCTTAATTAAGGTAAGTTACTTCAGCCCAGCCAGCCCATAGCCCACAACCCAATTCAATCAAAAAGTCCCTAAATTGAATCTGAAATCGTTAACTCAAACAATAAATCCCATCTCTCAACTCTCGTCAGTCGTCATTTGACTTGAAATAATCAATTACGACTTACGCCACAGTCCACCAGTCCGTCGTCTCTCAATAGTCAACTCTGACTCTCACCGAATGCTCTAACAAGCCCGCAGTGCTTCTCACTGGCCACTGCTCAATGCTCGCGACTCGCGGCTCGAAGGCCAGTGCTCATCGCGATCCAACTCTTATCCTGAAATCTTTATTTTGATGGTAAATTAATAATTTAATCTAATAAACTTATGGAAAACAATAATAGTAGGCAATATCAGAAAAGTTTAGCACTCTAGAAGTTGAAGAGCAAAATCTGTAAACGTTGTTTGAGAATCTTGAACTTAAACAACATTAGGAGTAAAATTTGACGAAAACCCATGGCAAGAATGTGAGCATGTTTGGATGAACTTAAAAGCTGACTTATTAGATTGTTTGATAAGTATCAAAATAACTTATTTTAAGTAAAAAATGACTTATTTTAAGTAAAAAATGACTTATTTTAAGCTAAAAGCTAAATGCTAGGTGAGGTGTTTTTTTTTCAAACTTAAAAGACATTTTATGTTGACCGTGTATATTACCTTTTTACCGTTAATTCTTTTATTTTTCTTCGTACTTTATTATTATCATTATTATTATTATATAATTATTAGTATTATTAATATTTTTTTAATTATTATTATTATTATTTATTTTATTATTATTATTATTATATATTATTATTATTATTTTATTATCATTTATTATTATTATTATTTATTTTATTACTATTTATTATTATTATTATTTATTTTATTACTATTTATTATTATTATTTTTTATTATTTTTATTAATATTTTATATATTATTATTTATTTATTTTATCATTTATTACTCTTATTATTATTATTATCATTATTATTATTTTCATATTGTTATATTATTATTATTAATAATAATTATTATTATTTATATTTATTATTTTATTATTATCTTATCTATTTATTATTTTTTAATTATTACTATATTTTATTATTATTTTTATTATTATTATTATTAATATTTTATTTTTTATTATTATTTTTTATTTTATTATTCTTTATTGTGTATTATTATTATTATATATTTTTATTTTTATTATTATTATTTATTATATTATTATTATATTTTTTTATTATTATTAATTATTTCTATTATTATTTATTTTATTGTTACTTATTATTATATTATTATTTTATATTATCATTATTATTATTATAATAGTATAATAATAATTATTATTATTATATTATTATTATTTTCATATTATTATTGTTATTATTTATTCTTTTCATATCATTATTAGTATTATTTATTATTATTATTATATATAATTATTATTATATATTATTATTATTATAATTATTATTTATAAACAATTTGTGATAATAAAGAAAATTGTGAATGATAGCAAAATATAATTACTTAAGGAATAAAAATATAAATTAATTTTGTTTCATCTTTTCAAGTAAAAAGACCTTAAACTAATCAACTTTTATAATGTTAATAATTTTTAAGGGTATTTCAGACATTTTGATTTAAAAAAGTGTTTACCAACACTTATTTGCCAAACACATTAACAACTTTTTTTTGAACTTCAGAACTTTTATCCAAACACATAATTATTTATTTTTGATATAAGTTCCAGCACTTTCAAAAGAATTTTTTAAAATCTACTTTTTAAGCCCATCCAAACGAGCTCCCTCTCTCTCTCTATCTATCTATATATCTATCTGTCTACTCTCTCTCTTTCCCCCCCTTTCTCTCTCTCTCTCTCTCTCTATATATATATATATATATATATATATATACTATTTTTTTTATGACAAGGGAAAATCACATTAATTTGCTACACGGTACAATTAAATCAAAGTGTCATTATAGCATTAATTTATTTTATTAGTTTGTCATTATATACAATTTTCTTCTAAATTTATGTGTGTCTCCAATATTGCGATTATAATATAAAAATACTTGTTGTTATAAAATATTATAGTGTAGATGTCGTCTACACCAAGAAGTTACTCACCCATTATCTCCACTACTTTCCTCATTATGAAGATGACCATGACCTCCATAACTTCTACTTTTATAACCATTATTCTGGTAACCTTTCACTTTCATAACTTTCTTATTATATTCATGTTTAATGTCATGTTTATGACAAACCTTTTGTATGCCTATATAAATAGAGACACGAGACTTCAAATTGTATACACTTGAAGATTTGATGAATAAAAAATGCTCTTATCTTTTGTTTTCCTTTTTTTATTGTTTTATCTTCTATATTTCTTATCTTATTTTGCTTTAGTTTTACAATTCTTGTACCTTATTATTATTAATTAAGAGGAGAATATTTAATTATTTCAGATATGTGAGTTAGTATATGTGGTAGGAATATTGATGTATTTGGATAGTATTTCCTAAAATAATCTATGTAGAGGTTTGTTTACTGCACAAAAGTAAATTTAAAAAATCTACCAAAGGCTTGTAATATTATTTGAATTTCGAATTATCTCTTTAAAATTTAGTGTTAACCATTAGTCAAAGTACATAAATAAACAAAAATAAAATATAATTAACCAAATAATTTTAGCAAAATAAACGAATAAAATACATATTTAGACTTTTAACAACTTTAACTATTTGAAATTTAGTATTTACAACTTGCAATTTTTTAGTAATGATTTATTAGAACTTAACACCAATCTAATAGAAATTTTCTCGAATCAATTCTAAATATTAGACAATTTATTTTTATTTATTATATTGGTAAGTAACCCAAAAAATAAAAATAAAAAATAGGAATGCGTGTAAAAATAGTGCCTAAAATTTACACGGTTAATCTGGTGTCTATAAATAAAAAATTTCTCCCTCGCCCTCCATTTTTTTTAAAATACAAATCTGAAATCAGCAACTCTTCTTCTTCAGTCAGTTCTGAGTTCACATTCACATCTTAATTGAAAGATTCAATTCAGTTTCTTGATATCTTTTCAGTTTTGAACACCCTTTGATCTGTAACTCAATCTGTTCCTATCTTTCTCTCTCTATATCTATACATCAAACCTATACATACCCCAAAAAGAAATACTGCTACATCTATATACGATTCGTTCGATAAAATTCTTATTCAATCTATAAATCTTACAAAGCTTCTATCTTTAGACTTGAAATCTGAATCTTTTTGCTTCGCAATCGTTGAATTTTGTTATCCCTTTTTTTTTGTTTGAGTTGGGGACCAAAACCCTAGCTTTCACTTTCAGTTTCAAAAAACCCTCTTTTTTTTTTCAAACTTCAGTAATCTTGAGAATCAGAAGTGATTGGCTGTGGTAGATTCCGCGGTTTCTGGCGTTTCTTGATTTATTCAGGTGATCTATTTTGCTTAATCAAACAACTGCTTAAAATTTTCAATTATTTTGGGGTCTGTTATGTTGGGCTTTGTTTGTTACATTCTGGGTATGGTTATTTGAGTTTAATCTTTTGAAATTATGGAAATTTGTGCATTTTAGTAGTTACTCATCTGTTTAACTAATGCTACTGAAGTTACTTGGAGGGGTGATTTCCTCCCCTGAAATAGGTAGTTAACTTATTTGCTCTTTCAGGGTTAAGAGTAATGATTTTTGTTGGGCTTCTGATTACTGTAGTACCTGAGGTCATTTGTATGACTTGTATGTGTGTGTGCTATTTAGAGAACCTTTTATTAAGTTGCCTTCAAAGATGTGGAGTATTATTTAGAGTTGGAATGAAATGGGCTCAAATAGAGTGTGGCATAGATATAAAGTATTCATATAGTCAATCGCGATTACTTTGGATTGACGCGTAGTTGATTGATTAGTTGAGATTACTGTAATGTTCTGTTATTTATTGACTATCATTTGGCATTGAGAGAAATGTACCAGTTTGGGAAGAGGATCTCGTTACGCTTTAGAATCTGTAGGATTTTTTGCTTTACTCAAATCCTTGATGTCGATATAACGGATTCATATAATCAATCGCTACTGGTTTGGGATTGAGGTCTAGTTGACTGATTAATTGAGATTACTGTAATAGTGGGTAACTATGTTGGACGTTCTGTTATTTATTCACGAGCGTTTGGCATTGCAAGAAATGTTTGACTAGTTTGGGAAGAGAATCTCGTTTGTGATTTAGTAGGTCTTTTGTCATGAAAACCAAATATTATTCACTTTATTTGGAATTTTTAAGATGGAGCTGGAGTTGTGTCTGGTCATATCCTTTGCGAAGAATTTGAATGTGCTTTTTAGAAATATAATTTAGACCCCCAATTTCTTAAATTTTGAAAAATCACCCTACTTGACTAATTTATATGAAATATACAATCGAACTGCTCTAAAAAAGTATTATCTCACAATAGATACTGTGTTATCAAAAGCAAAAAACGCAAAAGAGCTCTAAGGTTCATTGGGGCTTTTAAGTGCAAATAAATCGTGAGCTTTACTGTAAAGCAATGGCAGAAAAAACAAATATATACATGTTCAGTCCAAGACTAATAATTATAGATATGAGTAATAAGTATTTGAACAAAGACCTTGATAAAATCTAGTTAAACATCAATTGTTCAGTGTCACCTCTATAGAAGAAGCTCATTGGCAAGGATAAGTATGCCTTAGAAACTTATTGAGGAAACTGAATATCCCATATCCGAGCTACTACATATTATTACAAATATTTGTTCACTTCATTTGGAATTTTCTAAGTTGGAGTTGTGTTTGGTTATAGGTTTAGCAAATAATACTTATTTGGTATAATAAATAAGCGGGCCATTTTTATGAAAATAAAATTTTTTGGTTAAATTTGAAAAAGGAAAATGTAGTGAAAATGAAAACAAGGTTTTGGGAGTTTTTTTAATTCCAAATACAACTTCAAGTTGTATTTAGATTTTTATGACCAAACACTGCTTTTCAAATAAAGTGAAATTTTTTCCGTAAAAAAGTGCATAATTCTCTTGGGCAAATGGGTACTAGAATGTGTAGTTTTTTAAGCTTTACTCAAAAGTCGTTATAAATGAATCATATGATCAATCATGACTAGTTTTGGATTGAGGCCTAGTTGATTGATTAATGAGATTACTGGAATAGTGGGTAAATTAGTTGGACGTTTTGTAACTTGTTCATATAATCAATCATGACTAGTTTTGGGTTGAGGCCTAGTTGATTGATTAATGAGATTACTGGAATATTGGGTAATTAGTTTGGACGTTCTGTAACTTGTTCACTATCGTTTGACATTGTGAGAAATGTCTTACCAGTTTGGGAAGAGGATCTCGTTGGTGATCTAGGATCTGTAGTTTTTTGTTTTGCTTTACTCAAAATCCTTGATGTCGATATAAAGGATTCATATAGTCAATTTCGACTAGTTTGGGATTGAGGCCTAATTGATTGATTAATTGAGATTACTTTAATACTGGGTAATTGTTTTGGGTGTTCTGTTATTTATTCACTATTGGTTGGCATTGCCAGAAATGTTTCGACCTGTTTGGTAAGAAGATAATTAGTGATTTTGAATCTGTAGGTGTTTTTTCTTCACTCAAAACCCTTGACGTCGACTGCTGGAAGATCTAGTTCCTTCTCTTACTTTTCCGGACTATCAATGATGGCTAATCAGGCCATTCTTTATTTTGACTGCAACATGTGCAATGTGGTGTAGTTGGATTAGTTAATATTTTTGGATTGTTGAGAAATGGTGGAAACGTAAGATTCACTCGGTTTACATTACTTGTGGGATTTCTATGTTAGTAAATTTCTTGGATTTCTATGTACAATGTATGTGCATAGTTATGATAAATCTAGGAATTAAAATCATGCCTCTGCTGCCCAAGTACATTTGTAAGGTTTAAGATTTATATAAATAGAAGTAAATGTCCGTTACTTCTGTGCTAATATACCTTTATAGGTAGCAACTGCAGAGAACATTTAAATTTCAAATTTTTGAGGGAAACCTGCAGTCGCTAACCTTTGGGTGCGCGTGCACAGGGTAACCCCTGCTCCTATGAAATAGCTGGCAAACCTCATAGGAGAGGTAACTCGCACTAGGCAAGTCTGGTGCGACGAAGCTCGACCCAAAAGGCATAGCCCTTGCTTTCGTTGGCAAGGAATTTCGAACTTGAGACCTCCAGAATGGAAGTCCCAAGCTCAAACCAGTGGGTCACCCCGAAGGATCCATGACAAGAATATAAAAAACATGTATTGCATCCAGTGTCCTCTATTTTTTTTTAATCATCGAGTGCAAGTGTGCACCTATGTGATTATTTGTGTGATTTGTTAACTTTAATGTACTTCGTCTATTTCTAATTAAGTTATTTACAGGCAACTCTGTTTGAAATTTGTGTTAATTAAGTATTGATGAAGTAGTGTTGAGTCACGAGTGTCTAATGCCTATCATCTTTTAGAGTTTTAGTTATTGTTAGTCTACTTCTGTAAGCATGCTTGTGGCTATTTTCAGATGCATTTGTATGTAGAGGACATCAAAGCATTTGATCCTAATGAGGCTTACAGTAAATTAGTGACTACTATCCATCCTTGATAAGTATAAATAAATTGACTTTCTTTAATTTTTGCCACTATTTATTAAATTTGGTTAAACCGAACCCGAACTTACAAACCGGACCAAATCGACCGAATGCCCAACCTACTTGTGAGCTTAAAGTAGGTTTCAACATAATGACGAAAGAATGCTTCAGTATTGTGCCATATATTGGATTTCAAAAATAAAATATTGTCAAATGTAGGAATAGGGATAGGATATTAGCGTCCAGTCATATGATTTCTTTCTGCTGTGGACTAATTTGCATCGATAGTAGGGATCAAAATGGAAGGTCTATGAAAATGCATTATACCACTGTGCTTCCAATCAACAAGTAATCTGGATTATTATTATTATGTTTTTTTTTGATAAAGTAATTAGTTCTTTGCAGGCATCAAGTAGATGCGTAATAGTTACAAAAGCTTAGTAGCAAAAGGTCTGCTCTCCTTTATATTTTTAATTAAGAGTCAGGGAGCTGAGGAAGTTCAGAAATGAATCAGGTGAATCTAGAGAGGATAAATAAACCCAACTATGACAGCTATAGTAATATCAGACCCCGGGCAAATGGGTGTGCGAGGGGAACATTGTGCTTATGTTCACCTATGAAGCATGGGCACCGGGTTTTGGGCTGTGTAGTTGGACAAAATTCATGCATCAGACACGCTCTGTACATGTATTCTTGTCTTTCTCTATTTTTTGGACAAAAATTGAACACTTATTAGGCCAAGTTATGTTTTTAGAAGAAAATCAGGGGCTTAAAGTAAGAAATGAGAACTGATGAAAAACCCTAGAAATCCTAGAATCTCTTTCTGAAGACTAATTTGAACATGAAGTAGAGAACCTGCATCACTCATGAGTTCTCAGCTTCTGTTAACTGCTTGCTTCTTCAGTTCACAGATCTTCTATATTTGAGTTCTCAGTAGGTCTATTTTTCAGGTTCTCTTTTCTCATTAGACTCTGCTGTCTGCTTGATACTTTGATGAGCCTTTCCTCCTTCCCTGGTTTGCTTCTGGCTGCTCTGCTATTTAATTTTATTGTAGACATGCATGCTACTTTTTGCTATGTCAATGATTTTTATTATGTGATATTTTGCAGAATCTGAAGATCCAATAGAAAATATGGGATTAAGATATTGCAGAGTCAGGCTTTTCTTCTTCTAAGTCTTGCTGCGGACTCTCTCCTATATTTTAATGTCTTATTAGTTATTTATTGTACATGAGTGCTATGTGTTTCTATGTGACTAATATGATATAATTAACGATATGCATAAACCTGTTGATCACTTGGTGTGGAAAATGGATCACCCTGCTTGTTTATGGCTTTTTTCCGCTCGTCTACAACATAATTGGTCTCTGAAAAGTTCTTTTCCTTTATTTTTTGCTTTTATGAACCGTAGAAAAGAAAGAGAATATTTTGTGGGGGGGGGGGGGGGGGCCAACCGTTCTGCATTTGATGTACACGACTTGTTTTGGCAATGACCAATTTGTTGCGAGCATTTTTGATCCCACTGAGAATGTCAGCATATTTTACAGGGCTGAGAAAAGCTTCACTTGGGTTGTGGTCTAGAACCCATCACAGAGTAACTCATAGGGCATTCTGTTGTATCTTACCTGGTACGGTTTCCTTCTCCTCTTCCTGTTCGGATAGAACTACTCTGTTTTAAAGTAATTGTTCTAATATGGTGCAGTTATGATTGATTTGATGATTAGGTGGTTTAATATGACGACAAGTTTGGAAGAGTCATCAAAGAAAACTTCACGTCCTCAATTGGTTGTATTGAACAAGGCGTTCAAATTGGTGAGAGTCCTTCCTTATACTATCTAAGATGAAAGTGAGATGTGTTTAATTGTCTATGAGTGGGTCATATGTCTGGTTTTAACTTCTTGGAGGGTGACTCTTTCAAATGTAAGATGCATAGGCACTAAAGGTAGCAAGTTCTGTTCTGTACTTCTGTAGCATCCATAAGGTCCTGAATTTTACCTGATCTAAAGCAGGAGATACAATGACTTCTATCAGGAGATGAGGTAATGATGTTCTTAGATTTCTATTAAATAAAGCGAGTGGGGGTGGGGTGGGTAGTATAGCCAAAAAAATAAAAATACTGGGAATTTGCCATAGTTCCCCTCATATTTATTTTACTGACCATTGATACTTTCATACAATCAAGCTAACCTGGTACTCCGCTATGTCAGATCTTTTCCATTTCAAAACTTCAGAGGTACTATGACTGGTATTCATATTCTTGTAATTTTTTATAAATTAAATATGGCACTGTGGGCCAATTTTATTCATTCAAATCTATAAAAGAACAAGAACAAAGTTTGGTCAGCCCACAAATGGATCTGGACTGAATAAAAATTAGAGCTAAAGAAAAAATAAAACAAAAACAAGAAAAGGAAAGTAAATCAAAATCTAATCTTTCTGATAAAATCTAATCATGGTTGTCGGCTTTCAAACTTTTGATGGTTAGGCTCTTTGATGGACTTCATCTCTTCCAATTCCTCCTATTTTTCAAGTTTCAATTTCCCCACTGATGGAGTTCTGTGAATGTTGACTTTTTTCCATTGAATTTCTGAAGATTGAGCATCCATGTCTCCTGCTGTGTCGATTGTTGTTTCCAAGATTGTAGGTCAGCTCTATTTTTGTTTCCTTCATTTCCACTTCCGTCTTCCGATCAGTCCACTGACGTTGATATATTTGTTTCCCAGGTGTTTTTTGTCCTTCCTTGCTGCTTCTTTCTTAGTGTTGTTCTTTCCAGCTTTCTTATTTTTTGTCTTCTTTCTTGAAAGTTTGTATTTGTGATTTATCTTTGTTGTTTCGATCAAACTCCACCCTGTGTTGGTATTGTAATAGATCATTTCTTGTAGCACTAATGTTGTTTTGGTTTGATTTTTCAATGATTCTCAGAGATACTATCGTTTTGAATCCTCCTTTCCTGACTCTGATGTAAGGAATTTCCGATTCATCATTATTGATAAGTTGTTTCCCTCTGATTGGTAGTTCCTGAAAATTGTTGAAATGTATGGTCCCTTTGTGCTCATATGCTGGTGATGTAATCCGCCTCCATATTGCCTTCTCCAATTGTATGTGTGATCTCAACTTGTATTGTTGCATCCATTCCTTGGCTCTTTCAATTAGTTGAGTCATTTCCCAATGATTTTTCCACACAGTTGTTAAGTTGTTTTTAAGAATCATAGAGTGTTTACAGACTCACATTTGTGTATCCAAGTGTGTAACAGTAGTTCAGTGCTTCATGTATGACTAAGTTTTTGCCATTATGCTAGTGGATTCTCCCAGCTGTCCTGCTTGTGCATAAATTAAATCTCCATTGTCACCCCTTAGGCAGAAACCACATGTGCTCATTCCTGGGTTGCCATGACTTGCCCCATCGGTGTTGATTTTTACTCTACCTTTTGTCGGCCTTTCCCACTTGACCACACAGTGATGTAATCTAGGTTTGTACTCTGTCAAGTATTGTATGACTGTAGACCAGTCTGTAGGTACTGATGTTAACCAAGGATAATTGGTTTGGATTAACTGATCGATATTCAGTTGCCCTTGGTAAGCCATCTTGTTGTAGGTTGTATTTCCTCCATGTGTCCTGGTATTCCTTCTTTTCCATATTTCCCACAATAATTTCTGGAATCACCCAGAAAACAACCTGTAGTTTAGGAGGCTGTTTAGAGATCCACCTCTGTAATATGACTTGATGTAGTTGCATACCATCAATGTGAAGACCTGCACAATAAGCAAACTGTCTCCATAGCTTCACAGCTAATGGAGAAGTTAGAAATAAGTGATTGATATTTTCCTCCTTGTGATCGTCACAACACTAACACCTTGACACCAGATTAATGTTGATCTTTTCCAGATTGTTGTCAGTTGGTATCCTACCTTTCCAGACACTCCACATGAAGAAACTTATTTTAACAGGAAGTCCTTTTGGCCATATATAGTTATATATTTTGGATTGCTCTTGTTTCTTTCTGATTATTTGTGATTTTACTGTGAATCTCCAACTAGTTTCTCCCATCCACCATGTCTTATCATTATCCACCTCCATTAGTATTGGGCTTATATTTTTTTTTGAACATCAATGGTATGTTGGACCATTTCTGTTGAAACTCTATCCTGTAACATCTGATCTCTAGTTTCATCCGTGATGAATTTCTTCACTTCTATTTCTTCTGTCCATGTTCATTGTCTACATAGTACAGAGCCTCTTGTTGGGTCCAATTGTCAAACCAAAAACTAGAGTTTCCTGTTTTGATTTACCACCAAATTAGGTGTTCCATGTCTTCCTTATTTCCATCATCTTTTTCCACACTTGTGAAGCCCCTTTTGATTGGGCAATTACTGGGTGTAACTTTCAATATTTGTTTCGTATATAGGCACTCCACATTGAAGTAAATATTCTGAAATTCCACCTTTGTTTTCCAAATAAGGCTTTAGATGTATCATGCAAAGATCTAAAATCAATTCCACCTGCTGCTTTAGGTGAACACAAACTTTACCAAGCCACCAATGTATTTTCCTGTTATTTGCAGTTGTTCCCCAAAAAATCTTGCAAAACTTTTATGGATTTGATTTATGACTCCCCCTGGAGTGTTCATTACTGATAGAAGGTACACAGGAATGGTCTGCAGCACATGGGCAACTAGAATATATCTGGCCCCAAATGATAGGAATCTGTTTTGCCATTGCATTTCCCTCTTCATGATTTTTCTGACTAGCTTCTCTTCTCTCATAGTCCACAGGACAGCCAAGATAAGTGAAGGGAAAAGAACCTTTTCTCATCCTTTTTCTTCGATTAATGGTATTGCAAATGCTTAGAGGCATCTTCTCATGCACATAAAAGGAACCTTTTGAATTGTTGACCAGTTGTCCAGAACACTCTTCATACTGCTTCACTACTTGAATAGTTTTCTTCATAGAACTAGAGTTAGCTGAACAAAGAAGAATGGTATCACCAGCATATGACAAGTGGTTTATGGGGGTTCATTTAGGAAGCCCAAAGCCTCGATATCTGCCATCATAAAATAAATTGTTCAGTCCTCTTGCTAAAACCTCTGCTGCAATGATAAATAGAGTGGGTGATAGGGGGTCTCCTTGTTTCACTCCCCTCGTGGATTTAAAGAAACCACGTGGCTGACCGTTAACCAGTTATGTGAGACCAATCTCCACATCATGTCAATGATAATCTCTGAGAAACCAAACTGCCTTGTAACCTTAGTAAGGTAGATCCATGAGACACTATCGTAGGCCTTTGTCATGTCTGATTTTACTACAATGTTGTGGTGCTTATTCCTTTTGTTGACATCTCTGATGATTTCCTGTGCTAGCAACACATTTTCTATGATACTTCTCCCTTTAACAAAAACAGTTTGATGAGAAGAAATCAAACTGGGAAGTATATTATTAGCAGAAGTGCTCAAGCTAATAGGTCTCAAGTCCGCAAATGTTTCACTTCATTCTTCTTGGGAATTTAACCAAGTTGGTGTGAGTGATGAATCTAGGAATCTCATGTCCACAGAAAAAAGCCTTTACCACATCTTCCCCTATTATGTCCGAGCAAGTTTGAAAAACGGCCTGAAAAGCCATCCGGACCGCTTGCACTATTACTATTTAGACTTCACACTGCTGTTTATCACCTCCTCTATTCCTGGTAGCTCTGTTATAAAGTCATTTTGTTCTTGTGTAACCAGAGTTGGAATGTTCTGTATCATGTCATTATCTTTTATCAGTTTTTTCTTCACTAAGTTGCTTCTGGAAGTAACTTTCTGCCTTTTCTACCATATGTTGTTTCTCTGTTACCCAATCTCCTTCACAATTTTGTTCTCTGGAGACTCAATTTGTTCCTACTCCCAGTAACATAAGAGTGAAAGAACTTTGTGTTCTTATCTCCCACCTTAAACCATTCATTCCTGCCTTCTGTCGCCAGAAGTCCTCCTCCATGCTCATATACCTTCTCAAATCTGCCTGGGCTCTATGAAGTTCTTCTCTGTTCTGACCTGAATGCTTCATCTCCATCTGAATCTCTTTTACTTTCTATCACGTCCTCGAGAGTGGAGATTTTCTGGAAAATATTTCCATAAGCTTCTTTACTCCATAGAGTCAAAGCCTGCTTAACCTTCTTCGTCTTGGCATGAAATTCCAGAAAAGGAGAAACAGCAAAGCTCAGATTCCCGTTTCCTTAAATCAGATCTTTGAAAGATTGGTGGTTGGTCCAGAAGTTCAAAAATTTAAAAGGTCCAATGATTGGTTCTTCCTGTGAGTTACATACCACATGAAGGGGAGCATGATTGTAGTTCAGTATTTTTCCAAGATATCTTTTCTTTTCCCTATGTAATACTACAGCTACATCCTTGAAGTTGTATAGGTACCTTCATTGATCGTTACTGTTACGCAATAACTAGTGAATATCAACTTTTATTTTTGTTTGAAGATGTCGATTCATTTGCAGGCTGAGCAATGGGTCAACAGTATGGGTAACTCTTCTGATGATGCTAACCCAACTGTGGTTGTTCTAGAGAGTCGACCACCCAGGTAAAGATCTTCAACATGGCTATGATTTTGATGAAATTCCTGAGGTTAATTTCTTAGGTCTTTGCAGGCTTGGAATTGGTGCTGCAGTTCCACGTCAATCCCAAACAGTACTCTCAAATGACCCCGCTGAAAGAAGGCTACGTGCTAAATTGGATGCTGAGAAAAGAAGAAAATTGAAGAGCTCTGAAGCATCAACAATATCCAACAAAGATGGGAAAGTTGATGAAGAAAGTGATGAAGATGAATCAGAAAGCAAATCAAAAGCTTTTACTAAGAAGAGGCCTGCACCTTTGCCCTCGACTCTGCAAGTAAAAAAAAAGAAGTGACTTTGCATCATCCAGCAATGAATACTTCGAGATGTGCTGGAGTTCTACCATAGTATAAAATTCTCCGCCTGTCGTTTCTTGTGGCCATTTTGTATGTAGGGTGCAGTTTGTTTTGTCAGTGGTGCTTATTTCTCAACAGCATGTTCTCCCCCAACCCCCCTCTCCAGCGTGTGCCTTTGGTGACAAACGCTTTTAGAAAACATGTCATTCTCTCATTTTTGTTCTCTTTTGGTTGTAGTTAATGGAATAAAGTAAATCTTTTCTGCAACGATGCTCAAACACAAAGGACACATCATGTTTGGTACTTTTAAGTTTGTTTGTTCTGATGAGCATATAACCAGGCAAAGAGTGATGATTAGTCTAGTTACTGCTTTAATGTTGTTGCACTTTTACTCTTGCTTTAATCTTTTAGCTGCAAATACCTTTTTGTGAATGTTGCAATAGGAGGGTAGTACTCAGGGAAGTGAGAACATGTGTTTAACCTTCTCATGCGTTGTAATGACATTAATATTCTCATTTCGAAGTGATACTGTACCATAACCTTAATGTCATAGTAAATTTCATTTTATTTTTTATTATAAAAGACTGGACAACATAAGTACTACCAAAGTAGCAATTATGTGGGCCAGTCGAGAAGAGTCCTTTTTTTTGCAAAATTTGGTTCAATATGACTTGCCTAAATTGAAACAAATTGAAAACAGTAGCTTAAGAGATGCATGAGCAATCAAAGAGTGATACAAACAACCATGTCAATATATTATTTCTTTCTTTTCTACTTTGATGTAATTTTCAGTTACAATCACTTTGTACTTACAAGAGAAAAAGACTATCTAAGAGAAAAAAAGGGACTAAAAAAGGATGTCAAACACCCAAAGCCTCAACAACCAATCTGCCACGCAAAAAGAAAAGGAAAATCTAAATATATGTAGGTAAAACACACTTTAACAAACCACTCAAAACACATTCTACATGTCATATGACATCCTCCCCAGGAGGAACTAGCACCATCTGATTTCTTAAAAAGCAATTGAATCAATGAGGGAGTTCTCTGATCCCTGGTGCCACACATTATACTTTATTGGCTTAGCTTTTGCATGGAAGTCTGTTATACTATTGTCATAAAAGTAAGTACTAGAAGAGAGTGTATTTGAAGCACTCTAGGCAAGAAGCTAGATGAGAGGTGAAATGATTAGTTGAGATATCAAGATTTTATGCCATTTTTGGTTCACAAGAGTAGCATGGTCTACTTCGTTATCTAGAGTCAAGGGAAGCCTTCTCTTAGTTTCTACAGAGAGACAGGTCTGGTTACTGGTCCACGCTACTCTCAGTTTCACTCGTGACTGGAAAGAGAACATCTTCTGCACACTCCAAAGTATCACCAGAAATGCTCAAAATTGTGTCATCCATCAGCTCTTCTAGAATAATCTCCCCCATCTCAACTCCGATATGTCCAAGATCCAATCGGAGATTCATCCATGTCCCTGATCTTTCCATGTCTTTTTTGACAAGCTGTTCCAAAGAATGAGGAGCTGAATATTGGAGAAGATACCATTCTACTCCCTCCCATACTTCATTTATCAGGTCCATCCCTTTTGGAACAGGTCGAATGTTATGTTTACCGAGTGACACTCTGGGGTTGCAGCCAAAATATCGCTCACATACTGCTTTAAGAACTTCATTTGCACAATCAAAAAGGAGCTTCTGATCATGACAAGAACGGCTTGAAAATAACTCTACCTCGTCAAATAATGATGGGTCAAGAATCTGGTCAGAAGAAAGCCACCTTAAGAGAAACTCATCCCAACTTAATCCTGAGCCAAGAAGAACTGCTTCTACATATTCAAAAGCAGATTCTTCATTTTCAAAACAAACTATTGGACAATCTTGTTCACTGATGGAAGACACTGGTTCTTCGAAATGGATTTTCCGTGGTTGAATTTCTGGATCAACTGTATGCAATTGAACTACATTTCAGGTTGGTGAGCATATAAACAAATGATAGATCTTTGTTTAAGAAAATCTTGGTAAAACATGTCTAACCTGGTCGGCATATGGTGCTTGCAGGACTGACATCATCCTCTAAGAATAATGGCTCAAGAACTGATATGGGACTAGGTCGCTCCTTTCTATCAACTGCACTGTCAGGATCTTCAACTTTCACGAGGCTTGAAGACTCTGCAGGTGAGGCTGGTGAAGAAGATAGACTATTTTGATCCTTCCCAGATGGATGCTGAAATAAAGACACTCCATGATTTTATATATTGTAGCACCTTAGAAAAGTGCACGTTATTTCTTCAACATTTTTCAAGGGCGTGTTTTTTATATTCGGAACGAGCTTCCTTAATGTTATTTTCGCTACTTATATAAGTCCCACTAATCATGTCATTATATATATATCTAAAAGTGGGAACAATCTAAGTCAAAAGTTGGATTGTGAAAATGCCCTTATCTATTAATTTATTTTGTTTTTTAATATCATTTTAAAAAATCACTTTTCATTTAAAATCAACTTCATAACTACCTACACATCTTCATTTTCATCACTTATACTCTAATAATATTCATTAATCTTGTGCATTTAACTCTTAAATAAATATTATTTTCTACTTCTTTTTAGCTTCCATCAGTTAAAAAAAACTTTTCATGTTCTTTAACCTTCCATAAAACAATAGTTTTAGCCTTCGGGGTATTTTCAAATTATTAAATGCTTTCTTTTTTAAAATACTCAATATTTGGTGTATCCGTCGCACTTTCTGCAACAAAGTTATATTCTTTTTATATTAGTTTCTTAGACCTTTGTTTTGCTCTTAATAATTTTTGTTCTTTTTTTTTCTTTGTTGTTCATTGCTTGCGCATTTTACATCTTCAAACTTTATTTTATATTATGGGACTTATTTTGCTTGGTCATTTTTTTTAATACACGTGCCTGAGAACTAGTTTAGCATGACAGGTAGTAGAGTTTTAGTTCACATTTCATATTAGTTGATGATTTCATAAGTCAAACTTGTTTTAGCACCACCACAAGAAGACGCAGATCTTAACTTAAGACTACCCAATTATTTTGAAAGGTAATCAACCAAAATAATAACTGTTGACCTATTTATACAAAGGAATTACTGTAAGAAATCATAGATAGAGTACAACAAGAAAGTTAACTCTCTTTTTAGAATCTTATTTGTGACCACAAATTGTTATCATATAAAGAAATATGCTGCGCATATTGACCGGGAACCTTAAAAAAAAAAAGGTTTATCATGAAAAATACAATTACATGTTTCAACCTTATCATTTTCAAAAAATGATGAGAGTTTACTTAAAGACGGGAGGTTGAAGAAAACAAAACTGCATGATAAGAAAGCTCTCATTAATCATTTTCTTCTGTGATATCCCAGAGACTAACTTATTTGAATATGATATAACTAACTTAAAAAATTGAAAAAAAAGTTATTGTTATATGTTCAGTTAATTCAATGTGCAATGCATATGCATGTACATTAGAAATACCAAAAAGTAGGCAACAAAAGTACTAGCAAGCACTACTTACTTCTTTTAAGCAGTCAAATGACACTTCAAATACATGGGGAGAGTTTCCATCATCCACTGCATTGGTCGCATCACCATCAATTTGGATTTCTCTGTCAATTGGAACACTCAAGATTTCACCTTCTACTTGGCATCTGGTTTTGATTGCTTCTTCAGTTAGATCTCCTGCAATAATTTAGATATTGCTTACACAATAACAGATTTTAAAATGGGCGCACAGTGAATTGTAAATGAAATGTTCCCTAGATTCAAGGGATGATCAAGAGAAGAATACCTTCAGGACTTGTATGACCAGTTGAAGCAGCAATTTCATCCATTGTGTTCCCATTTTCACATGGAACATCTAGATTTGTACTGGCAGACTTGGTGCTCTCATTAGGATACTTGTCAGAACAGCTAGATTCTATCTCTAAGTCTTGGCTGGATGGACTTGGACCCGTAACATGGTCTTCTCGTACATGCTGGAGTCTGTCATCAGTCTCTACCTGTATAGAATCAGTAAGAGGCTTCCTCACTTGGAAAGGTAGCATGCCATCCTTGCTGTTATTTCTCGGGCTGCAGCCAGGTGAACTATTGTACTCGGGAAATGAAAGTATCCTCCCCAAGGATTTAGACAAATGTCCACTACTCGCCTCTGTTGTCTCGTCTTCATTGTCCAGCATCTCCACAAGGTGCTTCTTTGCCTCAATGTAGATGTTAGACATTTCTGGCCTGGGAACATCAGAAGTCCCAGTCAGTGTGACTGCTTCAACACCTTTTGACTTGACTATCTTATCCCCGCTCTTCATTCCCAGAGGAGATTTAGCAAATTTTTCAGTATAAAAATGGTCTCTATTAGGAGAACTCCATCCTAAATTTTCTCCAAAGACCCCTCTGTCACTATTACATCGCTTTAACTGCTCAGATGGAAATCGGCGGATGGTTCCTTCAGGAGAGATCCCATGACGATCCTTTCCCATTGCATGCTTGAGTTTTCTTTTAATTTCTGTAAATGAGAACTGGGATGTGTTCCTTTCATTCTGAATAGTATGTTTCTCTGTGTATCGCGAGCGTGCTGGAGTGTTAACATTGATTTGAGCACTGGGTGATTGCAAGCCTGTCGGACCAGGCTTCAAAATAACAATTTTACTTGAGGATCGGGGAGTCTCATTTCCCATTGGAGGGTAAACTTCTTGAGATTTGCTCCTCCTCCTGAAAAACTTACGTTGTTTGTGGTTTATGACATCATCTGTTTTTGCATGAACACGGTTTTCCTCTGACATATTGGATTCTGAAATCAAGTTAGGTCTCTGCTTTTCCTCAAACTGAGCATCCTCCAAACTTCCAATTTGCTTTACCAGCCTTGAGTTTGGATCTTGTAGGAGTCTCATGATTAAGTCCTTATTTGAACTTAGTGTCTGCAGAGCATCCATGAATTCTTTTGATTGGAGGGTCTTGTTATCTTCTCCCAATTGTTTATTGTTTCTTGATCTCTGATTGATAAACACCTCAATAGCTGCATTTACCTTTTCTTCAACAACTGGGTGAGTCTGATCTGACTGATTGTTATGAGCATTATGTGAACCTTGGCGGAGCTTCACAAACTTACGATTTTTCTGATGAATCTGGCGGAGTTCTTCCATTACAATGTCCAGATCATCGAGGGCCGTCCCTCCAGAATCTTGATGACAAGGTGCTTCAGACCTCAAATTTCCTGCATCATCCAAATCATGAGAGAGTGTATTACTAGGTCTGGAGAAAGCTCTGCGTGTTCGCCTGCTGTTCTTTCTTGAACGCCATGATTTTTGTGAATCAACATCTTCTGTGTCTATTTCAGAACCATTGCACTGATCTTTCAGGCTTTGCTCATTGACCATTTCTTCTTCCATGAGCTCCTTTACACTTGTTCTAGGATCAGGTACAGCTACCTCACTTTCTTCATCATCCTAAATTCATAAATGCCATACATTTATCATGCCAGCATATGGATACACATCAGCTGAAATGTTTAAACATCTCGTGTTTTTTTTCCCTTCAAAATCTTCTGTTCCAAAAGAATCACATTCCAATATACAGTCAAAAAGTATCCTGATAACATACCTCAATATTCAGTCTATCATCACTGGGATTTGGTATTTCCTGCATAGAGCTTGAAGAAGCAGAACCTGCTGAAGACAAAATAATGTGATTTTGTTGGACACGAGGAGGGGATTGGAGAATTGACATCAGGATAGTAGAAAGCTGCCAGCAAAGAACAGAAACGGATTCATCTTTTTAAAGAGTAAACAGTACCTAGATTCTTACCAAGAACTGGTTTGCTTCCTCGCGCTCTATCTGAGAGCAACTTTCTAGTGGCTCGACCATGGCGGAAGTCAAAGATGCTAATCAAACCCCAAATGCAACCCGCTCGATCCTTCTCATATCTCAGAGCATGGCGATGTGATCTCTTTGCCATATTCGTTAACTTACTGACTTCAGTGCACTCTATTCAAATTGTTGATACTACAATAGCCTATCTGCACAAGAAGAAAAAAGAACTTAGATTAAGGCCATAACAATTGGAAACTCCCTAAGCTTCTGAATCCAAGAAAGAAAATCGAAACACCATTAACTCCCAAGCAAATGAATGCAGCTAAAGAGCCACTAAAGATCATAGTTAGAAACATCTTATAACTATTTCCAATGGACTTGAGATCTCTTCCACTGAAAGCAATAAAAAGTTTGTAACAAACAGAATGGAAGACTAACATACAAAATGTGAAATTTCACTAGGACTAACCGAGATGCTTCCTAGATCGTAACAGTTGATCAATAGTGAAAAGGGTTGATAAAGGAAACACTGGAAAAAATTTACCAAAATTTTGCAACCCAAGCAAACAAAGAAAACAAGGAAGAAGACATAAACTATACCACAAAGTGTACTTCCAAGAAAACCAACTTCCCTCTTCAACTCCAAAAGTTTCCCGACAGAGTAAAGTTAAAGGAACTGTAGACTTGCCTAGTTGGTAACGAATCAAAAATTTATTTTTTTTCCTTTTCAAGAACAATCTTTAACACTACATGCAATAAGGGCAATGCAATTTCCCCAAAAACACTCACTACATGTAAAGAAATTTGACTCCACTACACCAAGAATATCTTCAAATTCTTCAAAGGGATCAATACTTTTTTCTACACAAAGAGCAAAAACTTCCAACTTTGCCAGCAAAATGATCCTTCAACTATTGAAAAAACTGTTTGATACAAAATGTGGCATCAGCAAGTCATAAAGACCTCAAAGATATCATCATCATCATCCTTGTAATATTATTTTTGTCGGCAGAAACTTGAAAAACCCAAAATCACTCTTTTTATCAATGAAACAAAAAAGTCACCTTTTTTCATCAATTAAGAGGAACCCAAAAAAGGATCTTCACCAAGATTGGAACTTCCTTATCACATGAATCATGCAATTAAGAGAAAACGTAAACAGGTAACCATCACAAACAACAAAAACTTCCCCTTTGACACGTTTTGAAGAGAATAAAGAACTCTTTTTTTTCCCCTATAAACAATATCAAGGGAGATTTTATCAACCAGAGAGGGTCTTCTTTTTTTTTTTTCACTTTGAGCTATAAGGGTATCCAATACCGACCAAAAAGTCTAAAAGAGAGAACCCCAGATAACTAAAACACCGACCCACGTATTTACACAAAGAAAATTAGCTGTGGGTTTGTGGGGCAGCCATTAAAGACCAAGCAAGGTAGTAAAAAAAAAAAAGCAATCTTGACACTGAAAAGTAAAGAAAGATGCTACTGTGGGGGGGTGGGGGTGGGGGTGATGATGGCATATAATGTATAGACTATAGAGAAAAGAAGGAAGAGTTCTTGACACCTGGGATTCTAATGGTGGGACCAATCAACCACAACACAAATGGAGCTTTTTCCCACTGAGGGAAAAAGTTTTCTGCTTCTTCCTTGCATTTTTTTCCTCTTTTCTTTATTCAAAATTCAATCTTTTTTCCCAAATCAGATTTCATCAACTTATAGATTTCATCATCACTGTCACCATGACACCACAGACCCCCCACCCCCTCTGGACAAAAAATGGTATTTTTTTTTTCAATTTTCTTGATTTTGAGTTAAGTTGTAATCAGACAAAAACGTATGAGCATTGGATTCATAGGCGTTGAGAAAGAGAGAAAAAGGCCCTTTTTTGGGTAGAAATTGACTTGTAGTTCTGTATTTGTTTTCATGTACAATACTACTAGTAGCTGTAGATGATGGGGATAGGTTGAAAGAGGGGTATATGTGGAATTATGTGAAAATTACAAGGATAAGACTGGAATTTAAAGGGAGTCGAGGTTAATCAAAAACAACCCTTTCCACAAAGATAGTGATAAAATCGGCACATAATCCTCCGCCCTTAGATATTTCTTGTTATTGATGTTATACATTTGACTGTTTGATTAAAAATATTTATAGTAGCTAATATTTTCTTTTATTTCTATTTAATATCATGATTAAGATAAAGCGTTTTTAAATTCTGATATAATTTATTGATTTGATTGAATTTTACAATTTTATTTTAATTTTAACAAGCATAGAAATAAAAGTTTTTGTAATTTAATATTGGTACTCAATAATTGTTGGTGTAGAGTTGTAATTGTCTCTATAGATCATTCAATTTAGTAGGGGGAAATCTATTAAAAACTCATAAAAGACCTATATAACAAGTTGGTAATGTTATTGATTAAATAGAGAACTAATAAAAAGAATTTAATGATTTCACTTTGCATTAGTAAGAAGGAAGGTATGAAACGTAATTAGGAAAAGAAATCTTCATTGAACAAAGATAATTAAGAATAGTATTTAAATTTTCAACTTTTCTTATCATTTTGTTAGGAAAAAGTGAAGAAAAAAAAGTTTGTTATATAAAGTTAGATTTATGAGATGGCTATGATCGATAATAATAATAACGTTGAATGAGTAACTTGGAATTCAAATTAATTTACCTCACTTATGTGAAAGAAATAAATTTATTTTAAAGATTCGTTTGATCGAAAATTAATTATTTTAAAGTTGTATTTTTATTTTTATTATATTTGTGAAAATAATAATACAATTTCAATAATGTGATACAGGGGTGTGCATTCAATTTTTCGGTTCGATTTTATACTATTCGGTTTTGAATTTTCGCTTTTTGGTTTTGAAGAAGTATAACAGAATCCAAACCAAAATAAATTTGGTTGGTTTGGTTTTTCTCCTTTTTGTTTAGGTTTTTTTGGTTTGGTTAATCGGTTATGTCGATAATTAGAAACATAAAAAAGTTATATTTGCAATTATAGATGTCCAAATATAAGAAAATAAATAAATCATAATGAAAATAACTAAAAAGGGACAAAAATGGTATGTGTATATATATATATATATAATTCGAGTTTTTTGGTTTCATTTTTCTAAATCTAAAACCAAATCAAAAAACAAAACAGAATAAATTATAAATTCAAAATCAAATCAAGAATCTAAAAAATCGATCAAAATTAAAATTTGATTTGATTTTTTGATTTAATCCAAATAGTACATACCCTAATTTGATCAATCATGAAACACAACATATATTTTAAGTTTATGTTTATATACTCAACCTCATTAATTTGTGTTGAAAACTAGTAATTTCAATAGAAACATTTTTTTATGATGTCAAATTGAGGCAAAGAAATAAGTGGTGGTGGTTTAGAGGGGGGGGGGGGGGTTATAGCATATTGACCAATATCTAAAATTCAAAAGTCAAATATGAGTTGCAATATATTTTTATCATAACATAAACAGGTAATGCACCTATTTTAAATATAAAGCATAGATGGGAGTGTTACTTGTTAGTAAGTAGAAAAATACTTTTTAGGAAAATAAATAATATATATTTAAGTCTATAAGTAAAGAATTATTTTCCTAAAAATATTTATATATAATTTATGTAAATGTTACGGAAGTGTGGAGTAAGGGCGTAAAAGATTTATAGAAATGGGGAAAAAATTAAGTTATATTGGACATTAAAAAATGAAGAAAAAAAAATTAATGTGAAATGTTATCTGTAAAATTTATTTTTCTACTTTTATAGGTAAGTCATTATTTTTATTTAATAATGTTATAATTTTCTGAATTATGCAAAGATGCATTAGGTATTTTTTTTATTTCAATTTGTGTGGCATAATTTTAAGATTCAAAATTTTAAATTGTAATTGTGTGAATTTAGACACTAAAGCTTTTGATTTTTGAAAGATAATTTATATATTTGAAAACTACTTAAAAACTACTCACAATAATTAACAAATTAACATACTTAAAAATATATGAATAAATTTTGATCAATTTTTTTTATTCAACTCTTAAAATTTCAACTGTCATATATAATTATAATATAATTTTGTGCATGATAAATTCACTAATGCCAAAAGAAAAAAAATGAAATCCCGTTATATAACTAATCAATACTCCCTTTATTTCAATTTATATAATATTTTTCATTTTTTGAGAATAAGACAATTTAATTTTGACAGAAAATTTACGTCTAAAAATTTTTATTTTTTTAAAAAATAAAAATTTTATATTTATAATCTATACACTATAAATCACAATAATTAATAATTTAAAATACTTAAATAATATAAAAAATTATAATAAAAAATAAACTTATTTAAGTTACGAAATTTAAAAAGTCTCTCGTAAATTAGGACGGAGGGAGTATCAAAATAGTGAAAACCCAGTTTTAGTGATATTGAGAAATGATGTTAGGTGTAACTTGTAAGAAATAAATATTGCAAAATTGCCCCCACAAAACATAAAATTGAGCAGTTGGACCCCTATTAATTATTACTTTCAATTTACAAGGGTGATGTAAATTGTATTGTCTAATCTTGAAGGCCCATATGAGACAAAGAGCTTATCTTACCCCACCCCCATCCTACCCCACCCCACCACTACTACTTTTCCTAATTCACTTTTTATTTTTGGAGTGGATATTTCCTTTGTACAATATTGGATAAATTAATTAAAAGATCATAACTTATAATGGTGGTAATAATTATGATTGTTCCCCTCATGCTGATATAAAAAAATAATAATAGAATGTTGAGATTTGAATCTAAAGGCTTTAACTAATTCTTAGTTGTTTTTCATTTGACATTTCTTAATATAATAATATAAAATTGTATGACAATGAAAATATTTATGATAATAATAATAATATAATCGTAGATAGTAAAAGTGTAAGAGAAAAAAAATTGTAAATAATAATTGAAAAAATATATATTAAACCAAGACTAATATGTAGGTAATTTCTTGAAGTTGAGTGTGTGTGGAAAGAATTTTGTATTATGAATAGAAGTATCTTCTTATAAAAATATTGAAAAATAAGAATAGATATTCTAATTAATTAAAATTGTATGCCTTTGGTGTAGGTTACACATTGACTTGACACATTTTAAGTTGCACATTTTTTTGGTTTTTTTTTTTTATTATTATTATTATTATTATTATTATTGTTATGTGTTTGATATTCATATTAGAGCTTCAACTAATTTAGATTTGTATTGACAAGGTTTATTAAAGAAAAAATTGGACTCAGGGGCGCGTAGCGACACTCATGCTAGGGTGTACAATTGGATATTCTTTGTCGGAAAATTCTATCGTGTATACAAGTAAAATGATGAAAATAAAGTGTTAAACAACATATTATAGACACCCTTGACACATCAATGTGATGTAGACACGTAAGCAGTGGTTTCAGCCTTTCAGGCAACGCAAACTAATTAAAAGTGTTTATGTGTTTGAATCTCACTAATAGCAGCTCTTGGACACCCTTCGTGAAATTTCTGACTCCGCCACTGACTTGACCCTATTATAAATATTTCGTTCTCAAAGCTCGAACAACGCATCGTATTATCAATCATATCCACATCACAACTCTAGTTCTAGTTAATTTCCCTCTTTTAAAATGTTTAAGGAAAACAATGAATATGATTCTCTTGTGTTAATTAAGCTTGGGATTAGTAATTTAAACTAAAAATAGCTAATGAATCCTTGTCGGACACCAAAGAGGGGCCATGGACAAAGTCCAATGTAGATATCTTAGGTTAATATATATATACAATCAATGAGTATTTATTAATTAGAAAAATTGTAGTAGTAGGGGACTACAAATGCCCAATGTATTAAATTATTCCATCTATTTCTCCTTTTTGACTTAATTGTCACATCTCTATACATAAAAGATAAAGAAAAAAGAAACTTCAAATTAAATTTTATTAAATAGAAATATAAAATGTGGAATTAATTTAAGGTCGAGTATGAACATAATAATAAGGTATTTATTAACTTCAAGTCTTGCTAATATATTCTTGATTACTTAAATACAATTAAGTTTGAGATTATTAATTTAATGTATGTATTGTATAACAAAGAAATCAAATTATTTGAACAACAATGGAATATATATATATATATATATATATATATATTTGATCTAGCTTTTAATAATAAATTCTACATAGATTAAATCGCAATATGTGGACTTACTCAACTCTTTTCGAAATCCTAAATTGACATATTAAAAGGTGCAATTGGAGGAGCTAGCTAGCAGAGCGGTATATGAGGAAAATAAAAATTTAACCGCACTTAATATTATCATTAAATAAATAATAAATTTCGTCTTCAACACATCTTTTATTACCAAACTATGATGATCAATATACATTTTTACTTAATTTATATCACCAATCTAA